ACAAGAACAGTTTATGTGACACAGCAACAAAAAATTTAAAAAAGCAGTATTTCACCAGGGGCTAACAGATTAAAAGGTCTTTGGGTGGTGACTGCTATTCTGCGGATATGATGGTGGGTACTTAGAAGAACCTACCTTATCTGTGGGAAAGCGTTCTGCTGTCAAGGCTCCTTAGTTTGAATAACTTAAACAAAACGAAAGATAAAAACTGCCTGAATGTCACAACCTCTCTCTCCTTTTACTACCATCAACTTTAACTAACCGTCAGTATGTAAGACTATAAAATTCAACGACTATAAATCCTTAGTAATGAAAACGGGAATGAACCCTGCGTTTGTCGCATGCTGTTTGTCTAAATTTTTATTATTTGCTTGCCACCTCTGCACCTCTCTTGCTACTTTCTTCTGCATTTTCCTTTCGAAAGTACTGCATTGGAGGCTTGAAAATGTACAGCAATGCTGACTGTTCCATATTTTAGAATACTTGACTCCGAAGAAGTTTTCGCGGAGTGCAAGTTTGGTTACGTAGATCGGAAGAGCCTTGTGATGAGTATTGTATGTCTTTACTGTTTGAGACTGAGCTTTTTTGCGGGGACTTAAAGAAGAATATTAGGTTTATAATAAGTCGTCACGTGAAAAGTGGGTCAAGGCTCAGAGTCATACACCGTGGAATGTGGTCTTCCTTACAATCATATCCAAGAAGTTTGGACGTGAAATATCGCTGGATATTTTCCATTCTTAGCTTTTCATATCTGCGAGTGCAGCTAATAATAAATGGACAGTGTTCAAATAGTGGCATTACACATGTTTTGCACCGAATGAGCCTGGCTTCATCGTCGCGAAACTTTCCGAGCATGCATCCTAAGAGCATCCTCGACTTTCGAGTCTGTAATGCCTCTTGTTCAGAGTATGTTAGGTCACTAGAGTACCTCAGGCCTAAGTCTAAGACACTTCGGAGTCTGGGTAGGTTAGCAGATTGAAGCGTTAGTTGCATGTTGATTGAGGTTGCATCGAAGCAAATCCAACCACATTTGTTCAGATTGAACGGCAGATTCCATAAGGACGACCAAGCAGACATTTCATCCAATTCCTTCTGCACAACATTCTGGGAGTACCCTAGGTCATCACACTCGAATGTGTAAGCTACTTTAAGGTCATCTGAAAGGATGAACGATTCACCAGATGAGAAGCAAGTGAATATTTCGTTGATATCAAGTGTAAATAAGAGGGGCCCAAGGACACTACCTTGTACTACACCAGAAGTGATTGGGCTAGGCTTGGAAGTTACAAGCCCGAGTTTAACCGTTTCGAACCTGTTGTTAAGGAATGATTTAAGCCATTCTAACAGACGGGTCACGTATTCCTAAGGAGTTCAGCTTATGTATTAGCAGTAAATGGTCAACACGGTCGGATGCCTTAGAAATGTCAAAGTAGATGACAAGTACTAGTTGTCGTCTGTCACGACTGCTGCTCAAAAAATTAAAGAAGTCTAGGTGGCATATTAAACATGATGGTTCGGGTTTCCAATGTTGCAACTAGTTATATGATTGGGTAGGTTATCTGTAACTGGTCCCTCCATAATTCTAGTTGTTGACTTCTGTCTCCACGCCACATTTGTGTTCAGGCATAATCAATGACGTTTTCCAAATCTGTGGGTAAGTTTGTGTTTCTAGGGACATTGTAAAGATCTAAAGCAGTAGTAAGGGAATGTGAGGGCCACCATATTTATAAAAATTGGGTAATATGGCGTCAATGCTTACTGTTGATTGATCTTTAATAACGATGGGCCGAAATTCTAAAAAGAGTGTTCGTGTGAACACCAGTAATTTAGAAAATAGCACCAGCTCGTCTAATAACACATTACCACCCCTTATTATTAGTAGTTCACCCAACGTAAAAGACTCGAACATAACTCTGACCCCTGTAATACAGGTGGAAGATGTTCTCTCTGAAAAAGTAGAGCTCTCTTACTTAACATGCATTATTAAAGAGATGCAGCTACAGATTGATGAATTAAAAACGAAATTAAGTTCATTTGAATGTATACCCGAAACTGTCTCACTCATGAAAAAGGAACTGCAGGATCCTACAATCCTAAAACTTTTTAATATGACCTCTAGAATGACGCCTACTGACTCAGAAAATGCGAAGGAGTTAGAAAACGCCATTGACTTTCTATCCAGCGAAGTTGTTAAAAGGCTGGCTTCGAAACAAAACGCTATAGTGTATAATGTGCCAGATGGCGAGCCCATTAAGTCGGTCCAGCACTCATTGGTGAAGGCTGCAAATCTCTTGAGTGCACCTTGTCAGTGCATTCGCCTAAGTAAAAAAGACCTAAAGCATCCCTGTCCTATACTCTTTAGGTTCGACAGCTACATAATAGCTGAACGATTCAAGAAGGCCGAATATCTTCTGGCCACTGCCACTAAATTCAAGACTGTTAAAGTAGTCTCGGATAAAGCAACTAACCAAAGGCAAGCAACCAAGAACTCCTTCGATAGAAAGTTGACCACACCGAGAACTACACCTGGTATCAGTGTTAAAGTGTCGACGGACACTGAAGCACAGCAAGTCACCTGTATAGTGTTGGAAAAAAATCGGCAAGTAAAAGCGACTCGAAACTCAGTAAGAGCAGTGTCACTGGGTGCAATCCTAAAGTACATGAGAGCACATCTGGAAAACCTGCTGACATACATGAGGTTGATATTGACTCACAAACTATGTCTGACCAGAAACCACTGGCAGACCACACTCAATCTGCATGCAAGCCCGAGAGTCCCGCAGTAGAAACTGCAAGAAAGACGACAAAGCCTAGAGTTCCACTCCAGACTTCGACATACCTCCCTCTCAATAAGTCTAATAAGCAACATGTCAGTCTAAAAAAAGACAATGCATGGGTAAAAAACCATATTCCCAAAAAAGTCATCCATCATGTGAATGAAAACACCGCTTCCCGAACTAGGAGTAATATGCCTAGCAACGCACATAACTTGGGAATGCAACGTAGAACGGATCATCAGGATATAAGGAGCACTAAACGGGGCTCATATAGGCACCATATTAATGCATATTCTTGTCCAAACTCTCACACTATCTATGTTGAACCTCAGCAACATAATGAGTATAGATCGACACTTGACCCTCTCAATAACTTCACTCACACATGTGATGTGAGCCAATATGCATACGACTATGAAAGACCCATGAGGTACAACTACCTTG